TAGCAGCAGTGGTATTTGCATTAAAGATCTGGCGACACTACGTGTTTGGAGAAACGACATACATACATACAGATCATAATAGCTTGAAGTATCTGCTCACTCAGAAAGAGCTGAACTTGAGACAGAGGAGATGGTTAGAACTGATTAAGGACTATGACTGCTACATTGACTACCATCCAGGGAAGGCCAACGTGGTGGCCGATGCTTTGAGTCGAAAGACTATGGCTGAACGGCAGCTACAGCCAACCTTGAGGGGTGAGATTTGCGCGACCCAACAAGGAGACGAATATTGTGCAAAGACAAGGGAGCTTGTCTCTAAGGGGGAGAGACAGGATTTCACCATCGACAACGACGGAGTCTTGTTCTATCGGGATCGTCTGGTGGTACCTGGTGGTGTGGTGAGGGAGCGCCTATTGCGTGAAGCTCACGAGACTACGTATACCATGCACCCGGGCAGCAACAAGATGTATCAGGACCTCAAGAGGACATACTGGTGGCCGACCATGAAGAGGGAAATATCAGAGTTCACTTCTAGATGCTTGACCTGTCAACAAGTCAAAGCTGAGCATCAGGTTCCGAGTGAATTGCTACATCCACCGGTCATTCCCGAGTGGAAGTGGGAACGAATCACTATGGATTTCGTGGTTGGACTTCCCCTGTCTAACAGGAAGAACGATGCAGTTTGGGTCGTCGTAGATCGGCTGACGAACAGCGCACTTCCTGCCAATTAGGAGGGACTTTTCATTGCAGAAGTTAGCTGAACTCTACATCCGCGAGATTGTCCGATTGCACGGGGTACCCGCGTCTATCATTTTAGATTGCGACCCGAGATTCACGTCGCAGTTTTGGAAACTACAGAAAGCTCTTGGTTCTAAGCTCAACTTCAGTACCGCGTTTCATCCGCAGACTGATGGCCAGTCGGAGAGAGTAATTCAGATTCTGGAAGATATGATGCGGGCCTGTGTCATCGACTTCGGAGACAATTGGGAGCGATACCTGCCGCTTATGGAGTTTGCCTATAATAATAGCTATCAGGCTAGTATTAAGATGGCTCCGTACGAGGCATTGTACGAAAGACGTTGTAGAACCCCGGTCAGCTGGACCGAACTTAGTGAACCAAAGCTCGAGGGACCCGATCTCGTTCGCGAAATGGAGGAGAAGGTTCGAGTGATCCGGGATAGACTGCAGATAGCCTCCGATTGTCAGAAGTCCTATGCCGACCTTAAACGTCGGGAGATTGAGTTCAACGTCGAGGATCTCGTGTTTTTAAAAGTCTCGCCTTGGAAGAAGGTGTTGAGGTTCGGGAAGAAGGGCAAGCTAAGCCCTAGGTTTATTGGACCCTACCGAGTCACCGAACGCGTGGGACCGGTAGCTTACCGACTCGAGTTACCACCAGAATTGAATAAGATACATGACTTGTTTCATGTGTCCATGCTAAGGAGATACCGCTCCGACCCTTCTCATATACTGCCCGAAGGGACAGTCACCCTCGATGAGAGTTTGTCCTACGAAGAAGAGCCCGTGCAGATATTGGCGCGTGAAGTAAAGGAGCTGAGGAACAAGTCCATTCCCTTGGTCAAGGTGCTCTGGAGGAACCACTCCACGGAAGAAGCAACCTGGGAGACCGAGGAGTCCATGCGAACCCAGTATCCTCATCTTTTCAGCGACCAATGACTCAGGTAATTTCGAGGACGAAATTCTTTTAAGGGGGAGAGAAATGTAACACCCCGAAACCCGGCCTATCAGGATTAATTAATTAATTGTAATTAATTAGTTATTGAGACGGAATAAGGGTTCATTCAAAGAAGCTAACCACAAAGATTAAGAGTTATCACGTTGTGTAGGGTTCGACGGAATGAGTCCAATGGCGCGATCGGATTCGGATTTGGAGTTCCTTGGCCGGGCAAGTGCGTTTGGGCCAGGTACGTTAAATTAATGCGGTGCCCAAAACCCCAAAAGTATAAATATGAGCCTACACGCCTAAAATCCTTTACGCCTCCACGCATATCAACGCATAACCGCACGTCTCTCTCTCTCTATGTCGACAACTGCTGCAGCGCCCAAGAAGAAGAAGAAGAAGAAGAAGAAGAAGAAGAAGGAGGAAGAGGTCGCCGGTCAGCCACCGCTATCCCATCGCCGTACAAACCTTTCGTTCGTGAGTTAGTTTCATCGTTTCGAGGTGAGTACGTGAAACCCTAACGTTAGAGTAGGCAATTAGGTTTGAAATTTGCGTTCGTATTCGTCATAAGGATTGTTTTGCATTAAAACCTATTTGTTATGATCATTCGGGAAATATTGGGTTTGATGGAAACTATGGGTAGGATTCATGTTTTATAACCCATGTTGAAATTATGTGATTATGTGATATTCATTACGTGTTTAACATCGTGTTTGAACGTTGAAATTGGGTAACGGGTGTTGGATGTCGAGAGGAAAACGAGCTGGTGCAGGAACTGGAACTGTCGCGGCGAACGGTAGGTCGGTACCGCCGGGACGGTACCCAGGTACCGTCACCTTCCTCGTTTCCACCTCCCACTGCCGGCACCTGTCTCCAACCGGTACCCCAGTACCGAGAGGGCGGTAGGCCCTACCGCCTGGTCGGTAGCGGCCACCGTGACAGGGTACCGTGCGAAGGTACCAGACATGCCGGACGGTACCTTGGTGCCGTGGGGGCGGTAACCCCCTACCGTTAAGGATACCGTAAGGTACCAGAACCAGGCAGCAAACCAGGTTTCGCCAAGGACGGACTCCGAGGCTTGTGTGTATTCCATGACGGGAAGTCAAGGGTGTCAACACCCCAGACCAACCACTAAATGATGTATCTCTGCTACAAGGTTTTAATCCACCGAATGTTAATTATGTGACATATGTACATATTGCTCATGATGTTGCAAGTACGAGTGGGCTGATCCAGCGCACAGCAAACAGGTACCACATGTTGATCCAACAAGTTGGGTAAAGTAAGTCTACCCAGGAGAGAACCCTTGGGACTGACTCAGTTGTAGGAATTGAGAGTGTAAACCAGGTGGATGCCTGTTGGGCTCCAATGGTTAAGTCAAATAGGGTAAAAACGTACGTACGGGTATCCTTGAACTACCTGGTGATCCATCAGGTGGGGATTCTACCCACCCAACGGAGAACTCCTTCGTTGGTCGAGCATGACCCGCTGATCCAGTGGGAACCCTCATGTCTCCCATACAGTAAAGCTAAAGTCCTTAGACTAGGATAGGTATAGGGACAGGGTTTGGCGATCCACCAAACATGATTAACTCACAGGTTGAAAGTGATTGGGACATTGAAGCGCCAGGTATATCGTGTGAATTTCTCTGTGTATGTGTGAACTACATAATGGTTGCATGATATCACTTGGTAATTATGAATTGTGGATTCATTTGATTGTTTACTTGATGTTAGTTATACCTCACTCAGTGTCAATGCTGAGCGTGTAGTTGTTTGTGTGCTACACGCAGGTCACCA